CATGCATTTTACCTCATGCACAAAAAAATTTCCCTGTTTTGTAATTTAACCAATATCACATCTTACCTTTAACTGTAACTAGGTATCTTTAATTAAATGTAACAATATATATTTCATGAGATGAAGAGAGAACCATGATTTGCAAGTTTGTGGTATTCTTGCAAAATCACATTCCTTGTAGCTGAACAATGTTTGCTCTATGTCCAGCATATCAATTTATGCTCATTTTACAAAATGTCTCACCTGTCAAGACTTGAAACACAATTGTAGATTTGTCTTTTAGAGATTTGTTAAAAAGGTTGAGTTCCACACTGAAGGTGAAAAATTATATGTTATTTATAATCATCTGAAGTATGTCAAAAAGCTTGTATTTTGAGTAAGAGGTCATTACCTTGTTTTTTTTAACATCTTGCAACTTGTGTTCAGCATTGAAATATTTGACTGCAAATAAGTCTGAGTAGTAGAGTTACATTCTCATAGACATCTATCTAATTTATATATTATGGACTACAGTTACCGTGACTCATCATTACCAGGCAGTTCATTCTTCATGATTTACAGGCCTTTATTGTAATAACTATTTCTCAGAGAGCACACATATGTGAAAGCCATATTTTACTTTCTCCTGCTCCTTGCTCCTTCTAAACTTTTGGTGTGGTTAGAAGCTGTGAATGTATTTTTTATTTCACTTTTCAATTATCCTTTCATACAATTTGATCTTTTAAATTTTATGTCTTTATGTTTTATTCTATTTGAGTAGTTTTATGTGTTGGTCCTTTTATTTTAATTTGTTCATTGTCTTTGATTTGGGTTTTGAATACACTTTTGCACTTTTCACATAAAATATGGCAGCAAAATCAAGTCATTGATTAAAGTGGTGTACTGTGTAATTGTCAACTATCCACATTGTCTTCTTGTCTTTCTGACCTTTTCATTTACACACACACACACACACACACACTACATTGTGTTGTCACTGTTCATCTGTTTGGTGCTTTTTGCAAACAAAATCAATAAAATTTTGAGTCATGACATCCCCCCAGTTGTGATAGGCCTTAAAGACCACAGATGTAAGAAAATAAATCTCTGTTGCCGACGTCACTAACACTGAGCTTACCTGCATTTGCAAATACTTCTTTGCACTGTTACCAGATCAGAACTGCTCAGACGTCAGGTAAGTTGCTGCTGAACTAATGTGATTAACAAAAACTCTGCAGTGACAGACCAAACTTTCTGGCACTCACTGCACTACTTTACGTAACAAACCCAAAATTCTGGCACTTATGCAGACCTAAACAAACCATAAAAAGTACTTTCAAAAAGTATTTGACCACACTTAAAAGGAGTAAATGGTGTAACGCATTCAATAATTTGTCATCCTATAAATGTAGCATCTATTCTTAAAGATCATTGTTGTGTCCTGTTATTTCCATTACTGGAAAAAGGCGTCAGAACTTAACAATTTGGCCTTGATAGAATCAAGCGGCTCCTGCCCATTGGTGGGAAAGTGCTAATTGTGTCGTATCCCTGTGAGAAAGTACGCCCAGCGCAAAGCACTAATTATGGGCCCTGCCTGGCCGAGAGAAAAAGGGGCCAAAACTTTCAACAAAGGCTCATCTCATATCTCAAGACAATGAGGAGCCAAAAGAATAGGAGAAAGGAGAAGTTAATGAGCTGTGTCACCTGGCATCTGTTGATGCTGGGACAAGGCCTGACTGGAGTGTCTCTGTGTGTTTGTGTACATGTGAAAGAGAGACAAAGTTTTTCTGTATGTTTACATGTGGTTTCTTTGGTTCATCACTGTGTGTCCCTTTTCTCCTGCAACATTACCCAACAGACAGGACAATGCAGCAGATAAAGGTCATAATTCAAAGGTGTGAAGGAAAATTATAAGAAATGCATTTTATTTTGTCCCCATCTTTGAAGCCATGTGATCACTATGTTTAAGCTTTGTCTGTTCAGCCATAGTGACTGTCACTGCTCTAAACAACCTATTTATTCTAAACAAACAATCAGTCAATGCTATTCTGCTGCCACTGCTCTTACTTAATCAGTTGTCATGGATGTGTATAATTATGATTGGTAGATCAAAAACATCCCTTTACCTTTCAATTCCAAGAATATATCAGTGCAAATGCAATTTTCCAGCCCTGTAGAATTTCATGAAAGTTATTGTTGTTTATATTGATTATAATACATTTATGAAAATGGTACTAAACTAATTTAATACTGCACTTCCATAGACATGTTTTAAAAAGAAAATCGAATCTCCTTCCAGAGCCACAGAAGACAGAATACTGTTTTTACAGGCTGTGTAATATATTTCTTATGACAAATAAATTCATCTTCAAGTGTACACTTGGTGTGAATATACCTTTAAAGTTTTATTTCAAGGCTTCCAAGTTTGCAATACAAGACTTAGCTGTGACTACTCTCAAATTGACTGAAAGGTCGACTAAGACTTACAACTTAACTAAATCTGAATAATCTTTTCTGATGCCATCAAAGGTTTATTTAGATAGGTAAAATTTGTGAACAGAATATTTAGAAAAGTTAATGTGACACGTAGAAAAAAAACACAAAATACTTATTTTTCAACTCAGACTTTTCAGTTATGTAGCTGAATATATTTTCTATTTATCTGATCCAAATTAGACTGAAGCAATATTTCCAGTGAGTTTGAAGAAGATGGAATAAGGCTGACATTTTACACCTACTGACCTTTATTTTGACCTACATGTTGTTATGAAGAGAACAAAGAAGAGGTCTGGCTTTCCAGAAACTGTATGTACAGTAAGCACATTTGTAATCCTGTAAAAACACAACTCAGCCGTGTGTTCAAAAATACTTTGAGAAGCACAGAGTGTTTCCCCTGTGGATTTCACAGTCATAAAAGGCGACCAGTCGACTGTGGTTTAGTGTTTAGCGTGAGTTAGAAGGGCTGTAGTGGCTGTTTTGACAGTAAATGACGTGACGTGAAACTGCATTTAATGGCACAAGGTATATTATAGCTTGGACTCTATTTTGTTTGGCGTTGGAGTTTTGTTTTTCACTGACCTTGAGGGACAATTTCAGTAATATTCAGAGAGACAAAACTTGTTTTATGTCTCCAACAGAACACATTTCTGTTGACAGGGCTAATTGTTAAGTGTGTGGTTGCTGATCTCAAAGCCAAAGAACCACTTTTGGTTGTTCCACTAAAATTTGTATAACTTATGCATAACCACAGACCTTTCTCTAAATTGGCACTGCTTTCTGGTCATACTCTATCCATTGTGCACAGTTTCAGAGTGCTAAGATTTTCTAATAATAGAATATAAACTACTTGGCAAGCAGGACTGCATTTAAAGATTCCACCTCCTTTGAAAAGGGGTTGGGCTTTGCAAAAGGGAATTCTATGTTTCATTTTGAAGTTATTGGTCCAGTTCCAAACCCATCTAGCCTCCAATGATCAAAGGTCGAGTCAGAGAAAAGCCTAGCAGGAGGCTTATGCAAAAATGTCATCTCCTTATTGCGAATCAGCCGACACGTTGGAAACCATCGGCACTCGTTTAAATGTCAATATACCCAGATGCAGTTTGGCTGTGCTTGGTCAACTTTGAAGTATGTGGATTGAGAAAAAAGAGAAAAGCTTCTTGCTCACGTAAATAGAATTTGGAGGGTTTCAAAATTTGCATTGATTAAATTCCTCAACCATGTACACGGTTGATGTTTACTCCTTCAGAATACTCCATATCTGTAGACAGTGATGCCCAAGACAAACCAATGGCAATTTATGTGGGAGATAGTGCCCTAAAAGTATTTATTTATGACAATCGTAATGTTTTCAAATCATTACTTTGTTGCTGAGACATACTTAATACATATTCTTATCTTTTATTGTTACTTGTTGTTATTTTTTCCTCTCTCTCACTAATATCATTCTCATACCAGGGAGATAATAAGCAGTTGGAAGAGATGATGATGAGATGACGGGACATAAAACATTCCTTGAAATCTCAGCTACTTTTTTCACTGCTCCGCCTCTCCAGACGAACAGGATCTTCAGCCCTGATCCATTATGTTAATGGTGAATTACTGGGTCACACATCAAGCACTATGTTTCCACCTTTAAAAGCAGGCCAGACATCCAAAATCCCATGACAGAACGGGGGACTTCTGGATCTGTTGGAGGTAACTACCGGAGTGGAGTGGTGGGGGGGGGGGGGGGGGCTGATAGCATCGCTAGGAATTTAAACAAAAGTATTTTTTTCTCCCTCAAAGCCGCCATCTTTCAGTCTGACGGTTCCTGTAAACATCATTCCAGCACACAGCATTATAAGACATGCTACTCCACATTCCTTTAGCGCTTTTAAAAGATGGAACAAATGTCTAAAATATTGTATGTTTACTAGTCTAGAGAACAGAGCATTTACATCAAAGTAAGTTGCGTTTTAAGTACTCAAAGGTTAGCAAAGGTACATCTCTGATCATCTCTTCACTCTTGACAGATAATATGAATTAATTTTTTTGTGTTGTGATTTCTATGCCACTCACTACAGCTGCGATGTGGTTTATGATGCAATATTTAATCCCATTTGATTAATACATGTCTATCTTAGTTTTTGACACTGAAAAAAACACATACAAAGATAAAATGTTACTTTCTTTGCCAAAAAACTTTTTATAATCATGCAATGATATCAATGTTTAAAAAAAGCACAAACTGTGAACTCTCAGTGATATAAAAAGCCTTCAGAGATGTTGCAATAGGCCTTTCTCAATTTAAAAACCACTGACCTTAAAAGCAGTCCTCACACTTTGGGTTTGTATATAAAAATGCATACCTTGGCAGTATGCAGAGAAGGGAATGTACTCTATGTCCAACCAATGGCTACCTGCTGCATTTCTCTTTTAGGCAGCATGATATTCAATGTGCACATTGTACAATTCCCGTCTAAACCAGGATATAAAGATGCTTTTAGGTTTCTCCACAGTGAAACAAAGACATATAATAGGTCTTTTCTTTTAAAATATAGTCCTCATTTTATTAACAGAGGCCAAATAAAACTCATCACATTTTATTTACAAAGGGAGGCAATAAATATCTTAATAATAGTCATAAAATTATTTTTGCTTACATTTGTTTAAAAAAAATCATAAATGTGTCATGTTGTTAGTAGCAACTCATACAAAAACCTGCCAGCAGACAGGTGAATACATACTACTGATGAAAAGGGAGCTGGAGTTTATCGTCAGTGAGAGAAGGAAAGACAGACTTTTCCCTTTAGGATTCAGACACAAACTCATGTTGCAGAAAATGTTCCCAGAATCCTGGACAAGTTGCTCATCTGAGAAGTCGTCTTAATTGTCAAATGTGGATTTATGAAGTGATTGGGTTGGTCGGAGCTACAGAATTCCTGTCTGTGGATCAATTTTAAGCTTTCCCAAAAGCATCTTTGAGAAAGGAGCGAAGATGAGCTCACAGTCAAAAGATGATTTTGGAAGAAAAAAAAAATAAAAAGAAGAGCTCAGTTCAGCTCAGTGTCGACTGAAAGCTTCTTCTTCTTGAGATTAACTGAACACAGACAGTCAGACTAGGTAAAGATAAACAAAAAGAACAAGGAGGTAGAGGAAGTCTTCATCACCAACCCCAAAATATTAGCTAGCTCACACTCAAAGAATCAAGGCATCCTTTTCTGGAACAACTTTAACACATGTGAGGATGAGCTGTTAAAAAGCGAGTCCAAGGGAAGACGAAAGGGATTAAAATCTGTCTCCTGAATGTGATGAAGCTAGAAGACTTTGTGGAATATGAATCACATCAGTTGTTATATTTTTGTTTGTATTGTATTGTTTTGTGTGTGTTTAAACAAGACTTAAGCCACAGCTGGTGCCTGACTAGTCGAAGCATGTCGTGTTTTAGCTGAATCACAGACTGCATGGAAATGTCAAGGAAATCACACACGGTACTCAGAAGGTTCAGCGCATTCCAGGGGCAACGAGTGAAGCTGAGGTTGACAGACATATGGAGGGGGGGGGGGGGGGGGGGGGGGGGGAGAAGAAGAGAAAGACCTGTAAAATATTGCACTCAAAGCTACACAGTTATCCCGGCAGCAGTGTCACCTGCGCCTGCCACCTCTCTCCGTTTCATCTCCATGGTGTCTGATTCCAGTGGAAAGTATGGGATCCGCGTTGTAAGGGGCAACACAAACAAAAACCGACAGGTATTCCAATAAATCTCTAGTTGGCTGATTTTTATAACATTGTGTCAGCTCCTGCTTCAACCCCCAGTGTCAAAAAGAAAGCATGCCTTCAGCTTGCAGTTCAAACGTAGCTGAGGACGACGGCAACAGGAATTCTCTCAGAGGTCCTTTAGTTGATCCAGTATAAATAACATGACAGGCACGTTAGCACAATGACAGCAACCCAGAAGAATCCAAGAGTTAGGAAATATTCAGTCATCCTGAAATACAAAAATAAAACATCTTTGAATTTTTATGTTCTTTTTGTCTGTCTTTCTTTTACAGGAGTGAAGACTTTAAGGTGATTCTTTTAAGACAAGAAGCTTGAGATTTTCAGATACAGTTCCCCCCCCCCCACCGCCGAGGAAAATTAATGCTGTCTCATTGGTCCCATCAGTTCCTCTTGGAGTTGGGTTTTAATCGCCGAGCCCTTCGTGTCCGCTTTGTTACTGTGGTGAAACGAAACACCTCTGGTGGGTCTACCCTTCCCCTCGGCTGGCGCTTCATGAAGTGGACTTCCTGTTGCCTCTGCGTGGTCTGCGAGCCTTTCTTGGGCCGACCCTTCCTGTTGAATCCGAGGTACCATCCTTTGTACTTGGCCGACACAAGAGCTGTGTAGTTGTTCTCCAGGAATTCTTCGACAAAGACACACTCCTGCTTCCTTCCATCGGGCTGAAAGAAGGAAAGATTAGGACATTAATTAATTATTACCATGGCAGCATGATCTTTTCTTTACCTTTTCTTCAACTAACATTATGGCTTATTTTCATTGCATCAGTGTATTTGGGCTCAGAATGTTTTGTTGTGGTTTTGTATTTTCCAGTTTGGTGTAAATTAGTATAAAATATAAAATGCTGGTTATGTATAATGTGAGAATATTCATTCAATGTGATTTGATTATGAGTCAAATACCTAATTTTCACAAGTCTGTAACATCGAAAACATTAGCTCACAGATACAATAAGGCACGAAAAATGTCACTGAAGCATAGCACAAGGTTTAAATTATGATTGAAAAGAACAACTTGGCTTAAACTGATATTTGTTGTTCTTACAGGTCTTCCCATGAGCTAGGAGTGAAACTAAGATTAAATGTAAATGTGTTCACTTTCACATGACTAGTGCACTTACCTACATGCCTCTACCCTCTCTACTGCACAATTGTAACATGAAAGTACTTCCTGTTTAGTTGTACCTTTTCACAATATTTTAATAACTGAAGAAAGTCTTTATTTCACTTTCTGGGCACAGACCACATTACAGTAGCTGTATTTTAAAGGAACAGTTTGACATTGTGGGTAATACACTTATTTGCTTTATTCGCCTTACAGAGTTTTGAAATTCCTTATCAATTCCATGTGTGTAAGTTAAATAAGTAGCTACAGCCAGGAGATGCTTAGCTTGGCTTAAATGTGCATAAAGACATAAAGACTGGCCTGTTTAGCTTCATAATTAACAGATAGATGAAAGAGTGGTATCGATCTTCTTATCTAAATCTCCACAACAAAGCAAATTTCCAAAAACATCTTTTGCTTTCAGATATTGAGCTATATATTCATGACAATGAATAAGACCTGGCTTCAATTTCTTTCAAAAACATGTGCATGGTGTATAATTAATATGCAATATGAAAGTGATTTAAATATACAAATGTTAAAAACTAATAGAAATCTAGAGGGTTCTATGGTCACAGCATACCGTTTGCAGTGATGAACCTAAGAAGTCATGCAATTCTACAACACTCTGAATATATGGTTGTTTATTAAGATGCACCTCACTGTAAACAAATTTCATGGAGACATTTTCTTTGGAAGAAAATAGTTCCACTGAAAACTGTTTAGCGAGGTCTGCGGATTATCCAAGGTAACAAATGTCAGGGACAGATATCTCAAAAGCTGGGCCCATAAAAATCTTCATGTCTACATAGAAAAAGTGGTAAGTCAGAAAATATGTTTTTCTAAAATTTGGGTGAAAAGACCGTTTAAAAATCTTGATCTGGGAGTTTAATTGAATCAGTCCAAATTTCTGTGATTTACAGTTCAAATTACTTTTATCATTAAGCAAGCTGACATCCACCAACAATCAATAATTTAAATGTAATTTTATCCCATTTTTAAAATAATCCTACAGTGGTTTAAAGGAGGAAGTCAAAGAGGCCCCAGCAAGTAAAACTCAAAATGCATGTTTCTAACAGATGACCATGATGAGAGAGTGAAAACTTGTGTGAATTTTTGCAGCCCCACCAATGTTGACAGCATGAGTTATTAATGCAACAAAATCACACGTGTGCCTCCACAGTGTACGTTTTTCAGATATTAACTTCTTTTCCATATCGAAGCCGTCGTCCACAGAGTCACGTGTAGTCATCCTGCGCTTGTGGCCACCTGGTGTGACTAAATGATATAATTGCAATGGCATTCCTCCTAAGTGACCATTAGTCTCTCAATGCATTGTGGTGATTGCAGTCCATAATTGACTGATCGAGTGTCAACGGAGTAGGCCGATTACGTAATGGAAGAAGGACTGTAAGTTATCAAAGGGGTTTTGTTAGGGTGTACAAAAACAGCAGGAGAAAGCAGATCTGATGCTATGTTGAATTCAGCCTGGATTAACAGCTCCATTTAAAATATTAATTTTGATATAGAAGTAAGTAGCAATTTAATTTTGAAAATACTGAGCTTTTACTAAAGGATCAGCCATTTTTATAATATTCCTAAAATTACAACCAAGAGATACTCACCCTTCCAACTATTTTGCCTTTTTCGTTCATGCAAATGTAATGTTCGCTCTCTTTTCCTTTTATACGAATGTGGCTACCGAAGGTTTCTGTCTCGACAACAAGAAGGGCTGGAAAAGAAAAGAAAAAGTAGACTCTGTTAAGGGCACGTTTAAGTCTTTCTACTCACACAAACATAGTTAAAGGATTCCCATACATGTAAATAAATCTGGTATGTTTTTTTCACTTACGGTCAACGGTGTCTGGGCTCCTGTACATTTTCTAATAATCTTAAATTGACCTACAATTATCATATTTAATTCCCAGTACTGTAAAGGAACCCTGCAAACTAAAGGCTCTACAATTGAAGGGATAACACAGAGCTTTGTCAAGCACTGAGCCTAATAAAGAAAACACAGTGTGCACTAATGAAATTGTTTACAGTATGTTAGGGTCATTAAGTTGGTTTTTCATGAATACGTTGAGATTAAATTCCCTTTCATTTCATCAAGTTTTACAGGACATAATTAGCTAATCTTAATAGTTGAAAATCACAAACCAACAAAAATCTGTAAGATCCAGAACATTTAAACTTGTGATTTTGGGCTATAAACTGACTTGATTTGATGCCCAGTGCAAACATCGTGTGAGCATAATCTTTTCTGTGAATGTGGAGAAATACAGTATGTTTTAAGTTTTTTACTTGTTTCAAACACAAAATAACAAACACAGATGCATTATAGGTCTCCAGAGCTAGTACATTGTCTATTAAATATATATAAAGTATATAACTTTCTTTATACAATACCACATATGAACCAACAATGCCACCGTCACTTCAACCTGACGCAACAGAGCTACCGAGACGCATCCCGGCGGCTCTTTAATCCCCTCCCCACCATCCCAATTGTTAACCCCTACGAGGTCACCTTTGTCTCTGCTTGCCCCTCGACCAGCAAAGAGATCTGCCAAACATTTGTGGAGCGGTTATGTGCCCCTCAGGATTAGGTTTCAAGTTCCCTTTAGTCTGTGTTCACTCAATCAAAAAGTTAAGATGATCCATTTGTTTAACACACAGGGCCATTCAGTAGCGCTCAAGGGAGCAGAGAAAGAATAGGCGAAGGGGATGGGACAGGCTCGAGGGTAGAAGTAACTCCCCCCACCCTAAAATCCAACCTTGGGAAGAAAGTGAGAATAAGGAAACCTGTCTCAAAGGTGAAACAAATGGAACGTAGAAGTTATTAATTCTCTTGTTTCACGAGACTTCTGTTTGTACGTCTTATTTAGGAACTAAAGAAGAGCATTTCTGACTTCTTTATCACTGGAACAGTCAGTTTGGACCTTTTTGGGGTCCTTGAGAAGGAATAAAATCCAACAACACTGGTTTTCATATAAATTGGATTATGTTTAAAAAGATATTTCAGCTCTCAAAGTCCAATCAGGAGTCATTTGGCAACACTTTGGCGGTTTTGCACAGACCCAAAATTCAACCTCAAGAACAAAGCCTCGATCCAGAACATCAGATAAAAACAATATTTCCCTCCCTACAGTAAGTTATGCTTTGTCCGTGACACTGTCCAAACCCTATCTTTGCTATATCTGTAAATGTATGAACAGGACACAGCCCTCTGAGTGCAGGAATGTTATAAGCTTTCCTCTGCTGATGGTAAAATAACATGTAGGGTGATTTTATTTGATCAGAACAGCATCCAAGAGCAAATATATTTGAGTCAGTGAGTAGTCACTGCAATGTTTTGTATATTAAGTCCGGGTATTTTAAACAACTCTCAGACTCAAGACTCCATTGGGGCCATAGTTGCCATATAAAAGGACAAAAATGAAATATGTGACAGAAGTTTTAGAATATCTGATCAATATTTTAACATTAAATCCCACTACCAGTGACTTCTCAACCTGTGCAATATGAACAATGTGCGGCCACAGGCATTTATTGACCTCAGCATGGGGTCACCTGTCAAAAAAGCCAAAGACTCCTGCATTAATTCCACATTGCAGCATTTATCAGTTTAAAAAGCCTTTGCAGTGACCTACCATCACTCTGGATGGACAACAGGAATCATTTACAACAGATTGTTCTGGACAGGGATTGTTCTAGTCTCTTAAAAGTAATGAATATGCTATACTAATACCTTGGAAGAATGATAACACCCTCACTTTGGCTGCACTGATAGGGACTTAGAGGTAATAAACCTCTACATCGAAGCAATATATTTCTTCTGTGGTGGTTTGTAGCCCTCCACCATGAAGCTGAAGTGACTGAGAGTGGATTAGGGTAAGGAGAGTATCTTCATGAACATTATTAGTGAGTGCAAAGGAGTTCACAGGTGCCAGGTACTGCAGCTGGATGGGGAGGAGGAGGAAGAGGGGGAGGTGGGGGACAGGAGAAGGAGGAGAAGGAGGGGCGGAGGGTAGAATTGGCAAGGCCTCATGGGAAACATTGGATCTGCTTCCACTCAAGCTCTAACAAGCAGTGAGGAAACTTCGCCTCGGCGCATCTGTGACTGAACACACTCACTCAGAGGCATTCAAGACCAGCAATTTCAAGCTGTGAGTCAGCTGTTAAGAGCAAAATATCTGCAGGGAAGCACAACACAAGTCCTGTTGCCTTATGTTTGTGCTATTGCACCAAGGAGTGCTACACTGACCATCAATTTACTCATCCACAACATTTGTTTTGATTTGTAAGTCCACATAGAAAGCAAAGAGGATCTGCTTAATGTTGATAGAAGCATAATATTTTTATCTGAAAATGCTAAATTCAACAAGCTGAGACTAAATTTGCCAAATACTTTTTGTCATCTGTGTTTTAATGCATTTTCATGTTAATTTCTGAATAAAGTTGAGTAGACTATTTTGCAGAATGGCAAATCAACATGTCAGTTTTGGTCCATATTAGGCGTTCTGGCAGAAATTCACACAGTTGATCTATAAATCTATCAACATAAAAGTAGACTTGCTCTGAATACCCAAATTCTGCAGTATACATCCATTGCATAGGCAGTAATTTCATAATGTTTTCAGCCACCTCAACCAGTAGTTGGTGCCTTTCAAAAGTCACCTTCCACTTTGCCCACTTTCACCATAGAGCATGAAAACCACCTCCAAACAATTGGTAGCATAAAGTAAAAGTGGCTGGAGGAGTGAGAAGCAGCTGAATTTAGTTGATAGGTGGTAGTGATTGCTCCTCCTGTTATAACAAACTAGCTAAAGTGTCAGGTGAGATGCACAGGAGTTCTCCCATACCATACTTGCCCCCATCATCTCCATTGGCATTGATTTTCTTCCCCAAGATCTGGACGTGTTTCCCTGTGGTTCTGCTGTAGAGCTGATAGATCCGGACCTGCTTCCGGCTGAGGTCGTCTGGGTTCCTCGTGTGGTTCTCAATGTAAAACCTAAAATCAGCAGAGCTCTGCTGGGACTCCTACATAGAGGTGTGAGACAGGAGAAAAGAGAAAGAGAGACAGAAGATGAAAGAGGGAAAGACAGACAGTGAGAGATCATCACGGCACAGGTGTTGATAGTAATGTGTGCTGTTGCTTTTATGGGCACTGTGTCAAAAAAATATGCTTCAGGGGCAAAAAAACTCAGATACCAACCTGGAAATTGTGGCTTTTTAATGTTTCTCTTCTCACTTTCAATTGGCACATTTGATATGCATTGCATTTACAAGCTGAAAACCATGCTATAAGATGTTAATGAAGTCACCATTTGAGGAAAAATCACACTGAGCAAGTGCAACTCCTATAGTGCAACCTTCTGTTGCTTTGTATTGAGACAGCAGTATACTATGTCCCCCAGGCGATATTGAGAAACCTGCACTCCATTTCCACAAGCAAGCAAGCCACTAGCAATTATACACCTGAAGCATCCAGACCTGTTGCACTATCATCAAACAAATATCTGCCTGCAGGCGAAGTAGGGTCCATAAATTAGGAAGCGCGGCAGGCGGAAGACAGGACTAAGAGATGGCAAGAGGCACCTTGAACCACAAAAACACTTATAGGAGGACATTTGGATCAAATTGTCCAAATCCATCTTTCAGAATTCACTAGCCGGCTGTTTACGTGTCACCTTAGACCTGACAAAGAAATAGAGGAAATCTTCGACAGCATGTCAAAAAAACAGCGGTCACCCAACATGTGGAAGAGCAAGAGGAAACGTATACTTTCAGAAGCCCTGGAATCTTAGTTCACGCCAAGATCCCATTTCTCCAGCTGTATGGTGTGGTAATTGCACAGTAATGGCTTTTTATGTGGCTGTTCTCAGGTGGCTAATTATATACACATTACATACCCCGAAGTCCTTGTTTTTCTAACTTCAGTAAATTAATGACATGCAGCAAACATGATTTGAAAGTGTGGCCTCAGAAGAATAAAACCTTAAACACAGAGAGGAAAAATTTACTTCTGCAAATCTGAGAGCAAATCTTATCGAGGCTCCAAACATGGTTCTTATGAACCAGGTGTCATACAAGTTGTGCCCCAATTCCGGCACCTAATCCCTTAAAGAAGACCATCTACGAAGATGCTCTCACTTTGCTCTCATGCCCAATAGACTATGAGATATAGCATACATAAACACCATTTCTCTGCCACATTTGAACAACACTTTGTAAGAGGAAGGACTTGTTGGCTCATTATGACATATTCGGTCTAGAAATGTGGACCTCGTAGGATCCAGCCCCTGAACAGGGACACAGCTTCTGTATCTTGACACGTAGGAAACACGCCCATAATGTTACTTTTGGCATCAGGCAGTGTAGAAAATGAGAGGCTGCGTATCAAAATGCATTACTGCAACAAATTTGTGGTGTTAATATTAACTTCAAGGCATCAAAACTTAAAAATCGAGATGACTTTGCTACATGCCTAAAATATAGTTTTATTGGGCAAATATTTATTTTATTTTTTTTTTTATGGTCAGTACCTCTTGGAAGTAGCAGATTTTGCATTTCTCTCACAAATACACTTTTCATGCACTGCTCTATTTGCTCATTTCCCCCCTCATAGTTTCAACTCCAACCACTTTTTTTCCTAGACACTTTTACTCCAAGTAAGTATTACAACATACAACACAACCTGCATAACACAACTGCATAGCCCTGACAACACACTGTCCTTTAAATAATAAATAAATTTAAAAAAATATATAGTCACACACAACCTGTTCCTTAAACCTATAAACTCAACCAGGACAAGCAGGACTCAACCAAGAGATTTTCATCAGATCAGGAAGCTGATTCAGTTCTGTACAAGGATTTGTGTTACCTTTCTCATAATAAATGCATACAGACAAAATGTGTAAAACTACATTTACTGTATATTGAAATTAGCGGTATGTTGAAAAAGCTATCTTAACAACAATGGTGCTTTTTTTAACATTTGTGATCCTAAACGAGAGAGTCCTGCTCCTGGAAGCTTTCGCATTTGATGTTCTAAACATTTGGTGTCTTGTAGGTGTTCCTAACACCAGAAAGTGATACATTTAAGAGCTGCAGCGGTTAGCATGAGCAGCAGTAGTCACAATGGCAAAGAAAAAAGCATCACCTACACCTACTTTTCATCCAAGGAAGAAGACATCAGAGTAGCACTCAAATTGTTTGACTAACACATGATCTCTGCACTTCACAAAAAAGAGAGATTACCACTAATGTATGCGGATTTAAAATTAAACATTAATGCAACAGCAAAGTGTTCATCCTGAACTACACACAAATGTCTTGAAAAGGATACACTCATTTCAAAAGTCAAACATTAGCATCATCTGTTGTCAACTCTCTCTCAAAATGAACCTCAAAGCTGATGAGCAATAAAAAAAACCAAACACACAACAAAACGTGGCATAACTAGGCTGCTATGGGATTTATCCCAAATCTCCCCATCTCTAAACAAACATAAAGGTGTGTTTGGTAGACAGTTGCACTTTGCGTCAAGGGAAAGGCAAGCCTAAGCACATGGCTGAGGTGAATACAAGCGACAACAGTTTTTTTTATCACCCTGTCTCCTTTCTTCAAAGACACAGCATGAAAACGGATATGGTTGAAACTTCAAAAGTCTGGCGCTCATCTTCGCCCAGGAAGCTTAGTTGTCGCATCCATCTAAGATACAACTTGCTATGTGCTTGACACACACAGACAGGGTCACACACACAAATAGGGAAAGACACTCTCTCATGTTGATATATTTAAAGTTTACTTCCAACTGTGGTTGCTTCTGTTGTTCTCAAGAAATCACAACCACAGCACAGCATGTAAGAGCCATTAGTTGCAAGTAGCAGTGCTGAGAAACATAATGTGCCAACAACATGGACAGGCAATATGACAGGAGGGCATTAAAGGGCTATTCCCGCATTTTTTTGTTTAATCATCAGCCCGAAAGCACTCAAAGAGCCACAATCCATTTCCTTTGTGAAACAATCCCTTTATCTAGTCTGACTTTTTCTAAACCACAACAAACACATAAATCACATTAAAACAACAAAAAACATCATTCATCAGTCCATCTCATACGTTGGTTGGCCCACATTCTGCATCCTGCAGAATTCTGCAACTTCATCCTGTCTTACATTTGAGGAGTGGTCAGTTGACACTAGCTTTGTTTGTGCCAGCTCTGTTGGAATAATCAGAGCACATGTACTTACATAATATAGCAGTTTCTAGTTGTTGTTTTTTTTTGGGGGGGGGGGGGGGGGGGGGGGTCCAGTTTTATATTTTGTCTCTGGGATTTAAAAAAAATAAAAAATCAGACAAATGGATAAGAAAATTTACTCCACCAGTTAGACCATTTTGACCAGCAGCACAAAATGGAAAAAACTTAAAATGAATTTTACATAGTTTACAAACAAACTTGGTATGATTCAGTTTTCTTTGACAAATATGTAAATATTCTCGACAATCTTTTAGAGATATAATTACATAAAAACTACAATCAAAATGCTGCCAAATGTTGGATACTAATTTGGAAGAAAATTCATCCCAAACATGGATGAGTCTATCCTGTTTTAATATTTAAGATCACAACAACACTGAGAAATTAATGCAAAACAAAAGCACGTGGAGTATTATGATCAAACACGTCATACCAATAAACAGAACAGATAGCTTTATGAGGTAAGCAGCGCTCTCTTTGCATCTTATCTGAATCACAACGCGCAATTAGGTGAATGGATGCCTGCAACTCATTACTGTTCAAAGTGAGACGCAACTAATAAAAACTGAGGCAACAAGCACCAGATGAGCCCATCTGTTCACAGAACAACTTTTAACTCCAGGGATCAAAATATTTACTACACAATTCTGCTGTAAAATACTGAAGCTGCTACTTGAACTCCAGATTTAAAACAACAGGTTTAAATAAATTTCTGCCAGACTAATAGTCTAAAAGCATTGCTCTTAAATATTAGTCCGGGTACAAAACATCTGATAGATTTAGATTAGAGTTTCCCGAATATAGGGACTATACTGCAATAATTGCATTTGTATCTCCTAAATCGTATCGCGGTTATGCTGCTATAACATTAATGCAACTGCAAACTGTAGTGTCTTTACAGTTCGTTTACTTTTTCATACATTTTGGCACGTCGATACTCTCCTGTATCTTCAGTAAATGCATTGTACTTTGACCCCCCCCCCCCCCCCCCCCACACACACACACACACACACACATACTTTTTTGCAATATCCTTGTTTGATTTTATCATTTATTTTTTCCATACCACATGTTTTCCTTCTAAAATGACCGGCCGATTTTTTACCCCTTTCAGGGCCATAATTAATATTAATTTATATGCATTTAAATGAGGCCAGTCAAACCTGGGTTTAATATTGAAGGGACCACCCTGAAATAACCTATACCTTTCATCAGCATTATCACATTTCACGGGGAAAAAAGTTACACAGTGACATGCAAACACATGGACACAAAAAGGAGTTGAACGTGGGAGAAAACATACCTGTAGCTGGAAATAGAGTACCAGAAAATGTAAACACCTACGTGGAGAGAGAGGGAAAGAGAAGAGAGGAGGGGAGTGAATCACACAGACAATTACATGAATAATAAAGGCAGCCAACCTGAACGAAAGCAATGCGCAAATGTGAAGCTTTTGGCGACTTCTATTGGTAAGAATGCATGATTTTATGTGCAAAAGGCAAACGGGGGTATAGAACACTTACACGTATATGAACCTCGAAGGCAGCGGATACATCTTGTCTTGCAGAAATACACCTGCTTCCACAGATTTAGAGCCCCGGGAAAGGTTGGCGAAATCGCCCCCCTCTCTCTCGCTTTCGCTCCCCTGGGCGTCCTTTACGCACACAACTCCGGAGGTAAGTAGGAGACTGAATCCCAATGTAAGGATATATCACTGGAAAGCAGCAGCAGAGTCACGGGGTGCAACATTAGGTGCTTCCTTGTTGCGGGAATTATCCAAAAGATTATTTTCCCCAGCTCAGTCCCCCCGCTCCCCGAAATCCCACAAGGTCCAGTAAAACGGTGCCAAGCGTGGAAAGGATTCAGAATTCAACCCCTCCAAAAAAAAAAACCTCGCTCAAAAAATTATCCTCTGAGTTTTGAGCACCTTCAGCCAAGTTTCCCCACAATCCCAATCCTTCTGCTCCAGAGATCACAGGCTCCTCAAGTCCGTCCGTACCTGCCGGGGATTTCTACACCTTGCATGGGTCATTTTATTCTACCAAGTGCTGCGGTGGAAAGGGGAAACGCGGTGGATAATAAAATGCCTTTCCGCCAAAAACAAGTCGATAAAAGTGGGCAAACAACTTGCTTATCCAGGAATACAAAAAAAGTTGTTTTTCAAAAAAAGTTTTGTGGAAATCGCAGCGGCGGATCCCTGGAGAGGTTTGGGGGCTAATGATGGCGCAGCAGTGCCTGTCAGTGGTGTTTGTGCGTCTGCGGCTTGAGATTTGGGCACAGAGAGGCTTTTTTGTTGTTGGTGGGTGGAAACGTCAGCGGTTTGCACCTGATAGGGTAATCTTGAAGGGACCATCAGCTTGAGAGGGTTTTGCCTCTCGCTGGGCAAAGCGCTGCGCAGAGGAGAACAAGAACAAGAACTGCTTTTTGTTTTGTTTTCCCTTTTCTAAATCAGTTTTTGCTAAAGTAAGTTTGGTAAATGATTTAATTAGCAGACCTATTCCGATATTGACAAGGACAACCTAGTTTAAAATATTAATGTCTAATTGGAGGCATGGGATGATACGAATTATTTTGTTTGGTTTATATGAGTTTGAGCAGAACAAGTTTTCATTTAATTTAACTTTTACAACAAACTAAATCTTTAGTTTTTGTTAGGCTACTTTAAGGCCTGTATAATAATAATTAATAATTATTATAATACTTATTACCAGCCTATACAACTCTTTATTTTTCACCAATGGTAAATTGGTGAAAAATAAAGAGTTGTTCTTTTGTAACAGCTACAGAAACTGCTTGTCTCTCTGTTATTTGTGCTGGAAACTGCTGCTGGTTTGTGGATTGGCCTCGCCTCTCCCAGACATCATTCAAATGCAGGTTGTTGTCGAGCTCGATTTTTTTCAATAATGTGCTATAACTTAACCCGCATTTAAATGAAAGAGAGGTGTGAATGTGTTTACGAGCTGGCAGCAGTAAAGTGAGCCCACATCCCCGCTGCCATTTACAAAAGAAAAGAAAACCTTTGTGGTTCGCGTTTATTGTCCCATTAAAACTGGATCCTCGACATTCCAGCCCCATTGACATTCAAAATGATTCTATATGATTACATACATAACTTCACATGTTCGGGAATTCAAAAGGTCTCCTGTAGTGAGTTCAGTAGGAAATGAAAAGGAGTGTGTGATTATTAAGAGCTCCAGTTGCTGATCAACATAAGTCAAAATAAACAAAAATTAATTATTTATCTGGAAGAATATTCATGCATGTTATTTGAAAGACTACAAGTGTTTATGATTCATAATGACAAGTTAAATCACAAAATAATTTGTATTGTCTGCAAGTACAAATGTGGATAAAGTGGGTTGATGTGGGTTTATGCTGTGATTCATGGCAGTCTGCCTAACAAGAAGGTTTGATCCTGTCAACCACAGTGCACTTTAATCATCCCTGTAACACAACTGATGTATAATATCATTTAAAGCATGACTAATTTAGACTTGTCTGCCTAAGGGAGGGAAATAACAGGAAAAAAGCAGCAAATAGTAATTATCCAAACAGATAATTTGATGATTTCTTTACAAAAAAAAGGCTTTGGGTTCTGTTTGATCGAATAAGGCTTACATCAGCTGCTGCTCACCACCAATAAAGATTTATCTCAAAGTCCAAAATAAAGGCACCCAACTGATTTTAAGAAGGCAGGATGATAAACAGCAATTACCACACTGACTGTGAAGGAGCCAGCATTGTGGAGTCACTCATCGCTTCTTAAGCACATGTTTGTGACAAACTTCTGGGAGCATGACTGTAAATCCACAACTAGGAATAAAGAGCCCAGCAGCAGGCTTGGATGTGGCCACCTATGAATCACAAATAGGAGGAAACGTATCTCCGCTCATGGCAAAATGGAAGATCCCAGATTTTTAAGACGGCTTTTATCATTTTATCATTCTGAAGAGTATGAGAAATAAGTAATGGCTACAAGCCAATTTTTGGATAGTTCCGCCATGCACTTGTCTGGACTTCCAGTCACTTTGGCAGCTGGCCAATCAGGAGTCAGAGGGACCAAGTTATTCTAGAAATGTAAACTGATATGTGGCACAAAGGAAAGCAACACTGAGAAATAATACTAATAATACAAAATACTTTAATTACTTTTCTGTTCTGCCTACACATAGTCTGACTGACAAAAAGGTCTTTATAATGACCTAAGTTCTCTGTTGAAATTAAAGGACTTTATTGGCTATGTCCACTTTGAAGACCCACTTGCGATGTTTATCCACATCTATCTCTGTGTAATGTTGAAACTGTGGAACCTTCATCACCAAATCCACAAAGAAAACAACTGTGCAACTGTTGTAGAGCATAAAGTGATACTTAGTCAAATACAAGGCGACAGGCGACAAACAAAATATTTTAGCTGGCACATTGCAGACTTGAAGGATTGGTTCACACAACTTATTTAAAAATATATTTTGTAAATAATCTAGTCATCCAGACTATTTTACTTGCCAATTCAGTAAAAGTACTTCAGTGAGTCCTACGGATTATCCAGAGTAAGTGGGACATTGTTTTTGCTGCTGAATTTTTTAAATGTAATCGTTCAGTGCTTTATACAGCACTATAAATTACATTCCATTTACCTCTATTGTAATGCTGTAGTGGCAAAGATCTGGGCAACTAAAATCAAAGCAGTCTGCATGACAAGAAACTATTGGAGGTAACTGGGAAAATATTTGTTTCAGTTTGGATGAACTGACCCTTTAAAAGTAATGACTTTAGGTGTGGATTGCAAAATAAATTTTCACACCATTAGTCAAAAGAGTTGGGGCTCCTACAAATTGCCTGCTGCTGACACCATTTTAAAAAGTGAAATAAACTTGATAAAACAGCAAGAATCAATCACATGCAGTTCGCCGCTGGTCGAGCATAACAAGAGTGAGCTTTATGAATGAGGAGAGCTGTTTCCCAGTCCATTTTCTGAGGCTCAGAGGAGGGGGGGGCAGCCACTCAAGAGTTGGGATAAGGTTACCCACAGAGATTAGCTGACAAGAGTGAGGGAGTGACAAAAACAAGCAAGCAAGTTAAAGGTCTTAGTTTACCTGGCTCCCTTTGCTTGGCAGCCAATGAAAGTGCTTTCAAACCACAGATTCAAACGATGCCTGAAATGGTCCTCTGCAGCCACATTTGCCAATTGTGTTTAAATTTTGATGAAAACAAATTTAACTTTAAAGTCAAGAGCTGCAAAGTGCCGAATTTTATTATTTAGACAACTCCCAGACCCCTTTCAAGCCTTTGAATTTGAACCTCGCCGCGTCCGTGCAGCAATGCGTGTCTGTCCACAGCGACGGGACTGTGGGAATGTCACTGAGGATATCTCATTGAAGCTAAAAGAGGAGGCATCTGAGGGCCGGGCGAGCGCTCAGTGGTTCAAAGGGCCCTAGCAGGCATTTAGGGCTTGACAAAAGAACTTGGCAGATCAGTAAGTGAAGCCCAATGTACTACATTAGTGTCAGGACCCCCTCCGCGTCCCTCCCACTTTGCACTTTCATCTCTGACACGGACATATTGACTTTAAGGAAAGGAGGGGTGCCAGGGCTGCGAAGGAGGGGTGGGTATTGGTGGTGTGTGTTGGGGGAGTGGGGGTTATGTCCCATTATATTCTCAAGGTGAGGCGATTGATGCAAAGGGGTGACCACTGAGTCATATAAGCCACCCAGAAGCCTTTTTTTAACTAGAAGTCACAGGCCGACAAGCGTGTGAGACAGGACGGCCCTCTTCCTCTCATCTCACTGAAATCACCCTCACCCCATTAGTAAATGCTGACCCTACCCCCGTCTCTCCAAACACACACTCACATCCCTTTTCACACTGCCATGGCTTTCTGCAGGCTACTGAAGTCCAACGGGTAACGTGGGTTTGGGTCGTAACGGGGTCGCGACACCTTGACATTGCAGAGGGTGACAGAGAGAGGAGACAGAGGAGGGAGGGTGCAACTAGCCAGCTACCTCAGAGACCTTTCAAGTATCACCTGAAGGAGTGGGAGGAGGAAAAAAAGCGGGAAGTGTTTTAGTAATTTGTCCCCCGTCACACGTTGTTTGCATGGAGTCATTAAGGGCCATTTAGGTTTTGCCTTGAAGGGAAGAGGCCACAGAACTTGGGTGCGGGTGCTCTTTGTGGGAGAGGCAGTGGGAGTGAAGAGTGAAAAGCAAAGCGTCGCTCTTCAACAAATCATCTCTGAGCACCGCAGTACATGCAGAACATATTAATGTTTCCACTGACTTCAGTTGCCTGCTTGACATTAATGATGATTTGCTCCATCTCATCCAATGGGGAGTCATGAGTTGTCCAAAAACATAGACAAAAGTATGGGCTCTCTTGTTGCTAGTTGTTAACACGTGGAATAACTTTATATGACTACATGCATTTTGAAGACATCACTAAACTATTCTTACTTGGATGAATTCTTTGGCCATTGCTCAGTAAAGATAAACTGCCAAAATGTGTCACAGTGCTACAATTGAATAACAATCAGCTGACAGACGCCATGTGTTCTATGTTTTTGGCCCGTGTTTGACAGATAAATGTTAAGTCCCTTGGACGAGCAGAGGTAATCAAAAAGTCTCGTTTCTGTTCTCAGACTTTTGATGAACAATATGAGTGCCTTAATGAGATAATAAGCCTTCTGAGTTGGGTGGACTGGAGGTGAAAGTTTGGGAAGTAAAATGATGTAAGTGTTTTTTGTCAGGTCTTTAATTTCTTTTTCCTCCCTGAATTGAACCTGAATTATCGTTTTCTTGGATAGCCATAATTACCAAATTTAGGGGCTGGTTGTTTGTAATGTGACATAAAATTGCTATACAAACTGGTAAGGTTTTAAGGTTATATTCATTGACACAAAATGTGTTATTCTTTGACAATTATTAAAAACACCTAGCTGCCCTGCTCTGATATGTGAATGCATCTTCAACTCTTAAAGAAATGGCAGTCTATATATCTCCTTAATGACACAAAGTAAATTAAAAATCTGCTTAAAAACAGCTTTGAAAAGGTGATGCTTTAGAATCAAAAGGATGTTGAAGCCCACCAAGAGTGTGACCTGGACTCACCTACATAATTTGATGAGGACTTTGATTTTAAGTCATTACCTTCATGTTACGGGTGAGAAGTACTAAGTGAGTGTTCAAAGCCGAAACCTGTCAGGCTAATGTTTATCTGATTATTGTGCCGCCTGAAAAGCACTTCCTCAGGTGCAACTGGTCGGTTTTGTCCTTGTT